AATGCTCAAAATGCCGGTCATACTGAAAAGAGATAAACTCTACAAATCTTTGTCTTGGCCTTGATTTTCATCTGTGAAATATTTCACATCATGAAAATGAGGTGGAAATGAAAGAAAAACCCTGCAGATCTACAAATGTATTCTTTGTTTAAATTGGACCAAGACATTTTACATGTTAATGCAGCCTACTAGAAACTGAAAAAAAAATTCTCCATCTTTAAGCATTTATTTCTTGATATAACAATAGAATGTTGCTTCATTTCAGTAAAAAGGCAACCAGTAAAAGAAGAAGCTATTCTGTGATTGATAAAAGCTTTGGGAATAGGGTTCTGTTTGACAAAATCAGTCTGCATAGTAGGGAGAGGGATATTCTGCTTTCCTGGTGAGAGGATGTTCAGGAACAGAAACTACCTATGGTGGAGTGATAGCCTACAGATGCTCAGAGTCTGTTTACCTGGAGGAGACAGCTACAGTCAGAATCTCTGGAAAAGTGAGAATTCCAAATGGAGTGTGCTGGCGTACAGAGGGGTAGCCAGAAGCTGAGAAGTTATACAACTTACCTTCTATTCTCTCAGTTACTCCACTGATGCCTATGGGGCACTGATTGTATGCCAAGCTTTGTGCTAAACCTATATATACACATATAAATGTGTATGTATACACAAATACACACACATATATGACTCAACTCATTAGAAAATTCATTCATTTCCCAAAGATGTCAATGTCTCTCATTTCTGGACCTTAAAATATGGTAATTTCTTTTCTGTACACCTTTTTCATACATTTGACCAGTTCCTACCCCTCCTTCAGGTATAACTTTAATATTCCCCTCATAGAACTTTCTGACTCCAAATGGGCAGCCCTCCCATATAGGGTACTGGCAAGGCAATTAATGTCTATATACTGTCTGTATAATCTTCTTCCAGTGGAAAACTCACATATACCTGCCAAGCCAAAAGCTGAGATCTGTGTTCTCTACTCTCTTCCACTGACTGCAAGAAAAGATGGAGTCAAGAAAAGGTGGTAGTTATTTATAGTAGGTCTACTTTTATATTCTTATAAAAATGTTTGAAGAGGATTCTGGTGCCAACAGCTACCTGGCACCTTTTTATCTTTCATTTTGGATGCCAGATATCAATTGTAGAGCTATAGAAAAATTCTCTCTCAACATGTTGTCATATTGACTTAACTGTCTATTCCTTATATGACATATTACAGGAGGGTAAAAACCATCTCTTCTTATGTCAGTATTACATTCTTACTGTTTGCTGTAACACCAAGTACACAGGAAGTGCTCAATAAATATGTATTAAATGAGTATTAAATAAGTATTAAATGAGATTTAGAGAAGTGAAACATCTAGTCCAAAATCAAAAGCCCTATTTGGAAACATTGTTTCTGATTTTAGTGATCTTACACTAATAGTCCTGAAAACAAAATGTGTTATGCACATTGATCTTTTTAGTTAGTAATGACTTCCTTAAAAGCTTGGTTTTACTGTAGGTAATATAAACACAATAGTTTTATATTAAAATAATTAGAAAATGCACACCACTGTTAGCACCTGTGATTCATTAATTTTAATTATGAGAGAAAATACTTTCTGATATGTCTTTTAAAAAAATCTCAGAAATCAAAAAATCCCCACAATAACAAATGGCATTAATTTGAAAAATGCAACTTACCTCCACGACTGAAATTTCCAATCTCATTTGGGCCACTATTGCTATTGTTTACTGGCAAGCTTGTAGCTGGCCATGAATCAGCAAGCCATGGATAACTGGGATCACCAGCATTTAAAAGACCTGGACGGCTAAAACAGAAATTAGATAGAAATCAACCCATGGGGCTCAATGCAAGATTTTGACACCTGTCTCACACACTAAAAAAGGTTAAGGAATTTAAGAATATTTTAATTGACTTCGAATTAAAATGCGTAGGCTCCCAACAATAAAGGAACTTCAGCAGTTCTTTAAGGCTATATATAGATCAACACTGACAGTGGAAACAGAAAGTCCTTGCCTGGGATTCTCCTGATATCCAAATGAATTCAGGAGTATGCTCTGAAACTGATGGGAATCAGTAGCATCGTAGGATCCCCAAACAAGGTTTGATGATAAATTGGCACCTCAAGGGAACAATTGCTCAGAGTGACTGCTCAGTATCAGCCATTTCCAGGACTTTCGGCTATTCCTTCCTCAATTCCTGCATCTTCCATATGTATCTGTCCCCTCTAGGATGTAACTCTTGTTATGAGCCCTCACACTTGATTTAGAGGCAAGGAACTTGAAGGAAATTAATGAACGGTATTTATACTGTTTCATCAATAGCACATTTCCAAGTCTTCTAAGTTGTAAAATATCATGGGTATATAAAGGGTTTTTTTAAGATTGTAAAAGATACCTTGTGATCTGATCCAGCACATGAGTATAGTCTAGGAGGAAAACTTCCTTCATTCACATCATATTTAATAAAGAACTTCCTTCTTTAGTATAAAAGATGAGATTCTGGTTCCTTTCCAGATTACTAGCATAGTTACAAAGAAATAGAACATCTATAATCATTGTACTTTTTTTGATAGACCCCTTCTGGTACAATCCCTAAGAGAAACATGTGTTTCTATGGAAACTGCAATAAAAAGATCCAACTGCTTTCTTGCTGCATCCATAGCTCTCATTAGACTTAATCTCTTTTTGCTAAAATATTGATTAAATGGGAGATTGGAAGTTATTACCAGAGCCTAATTACAATCTCCATATTGGCAAAGGGAAAATAGATAAGGATATATGAGTTTGTTATCAGCTTTTATCAATTTCAATTGAGTATCCAAAGTTGTGGAATCCAGTCCTATCAATCTACAGACTATTCATCATCCATGAATCATTTACTTTGTGATCGATTATGTGTAATTGTTCACTCACAGCAATTTAATGAGAGCCAATAAGGAGTCTTAAACAACAGCAACTTCATTTGCTAATGTCTAATTAATGCAATAAACATCCCGCTAACAAATGAACACATTCCTTGTGATATTTACTACTAATTTCTTCAGGGGCATCTGGGAGATATGAAACATCTGGACTTGATTCCTCTAAAGTGCACAACAGATAGATCATTAAACCTTGTGGTAAGCCATTTAATTCCTCCTAGAATTCTCAGACTTATAAGTGATCGTTTATTACAGTAATAGCCTCTTACTATAGAGTTTCTCCAGTCCTGATTAAAAATAATAATAAAAAAAATTTCCTTAGCATACCTTCCATTGCTCATTAGTCCTCCATCACCTCTCTGAAATGTAACTGTAAAAACAGAAAGACATACACGCACAAGTAGTCAATATTAATTACAATTAATAACTACACATTGGCCCTTAGTTTAGAGCTGAGGCCTCTGGGAATTTTAACAAAATATAATTAACATAATTGTACAGAGAGTAACAAGCGGTGGTTTGGCCCAAGGCAAAGCCATCATTTGCTCCAATTTTAATAGGACATTTCAAAATTCTTCAAGCCAAATGCATGGTTAAGTTAAAGCCGCAATTTGTATGTAGATGTCAAGCACAGTTACAACTAGTATATGTAGTGATATTGGAAAATCAACATAGCATTAATGTGGATTTATCAAATCAAAACTTTTAATTGTATCACAAATTGTCCTAATTGGAAGGCATAAGGCGAAACATTTGTAATGGAAATTGAAACAGAACAGTTCAAACGGATTATATCCTTCCAATGAAACAAGAGAAGCAAGTACTTATTAACTACATATATTTTTTATCATCACAAATCCTTCTAGGCACCCTTACAAGCACTACGAGTTGAACAGTTACAACTGTAATAGAAATTAACTATAATTAATAGAGAATAACATGCTCATGAAAATGAAATTTCCAAATAATCAATACTAAATATATTCCAATTGTATTTAGTGATTGCAAAATCAAGTCCTATATAAAACATGGAACTTATTAGCAACACCAACAAGCATCCATTATAGCCACCATTGCTGGTGAATCCACTCTCTCCAGTCAAAAGGTTCCATTCTGCAAAGCCAACAACATGAAAGCGCATTACAAGGACTGGCAAAAGAATGTGAATATCAGTTTAGGTCCATTATCCTTTATCCAAAACCTTTGCAGTAAAATGTATTTAGATTCCAAAATGATTCAGATCTGATAAAGGTAATATACTTTGAATACTACAAAGGATATCTGAAGCAGCAAAGTATATTCAAAGTTATTTAATTTTTCTGTAGTGGAATGTGAATCTCATGGATATGATTAGTGGGATAAATAAGGTCTATAAGTAGCTTCCCATTAGTTTGGATCAAATTTTGTCACTGAATTACTTAACTAGAAAATTATGGAAACGAAATTTGGTGTTTAGAAGTGTATGGATTGCCAAATTGCAATAAACTTGCAATTGCAACCCAAATTAGTATGGATTGGCTCAATCAATCACTGAGGAGAAAGTAAATAATACCATTTTCACAGCTGTGAACCCAATATTTCCTATCTTTTGAAGACACTGATTATATTTACTATGATGTATTTTACTTGGTGAGTACAGGTGAAAATAAATGAAAATTTTAATGAATTGATTCGTATTTTAAGCAAACAGGATATATTGCTACTTAAAGTATGAACATAGAGAATCTTTTTAATTTTAATAACTGCCTATAATTCATCTGTTCCTTAAGTTTGCACTATCAAATATGATTACCCTTTGAATTTTGTAAATTTCCAAATGCAGTTCCCCAGTCCCTCCTTTTAGGTCATCTAATAACATTATATCCCATGACACCATAATCAGGCAATATGACCATGATTCCAAGGGTCTTCATGAGACAGTGAAAAATATATTAGGGCTTTCGTGTTGATATCTGAAATACATAACTTTATCAATTTTACATGTAACATCTCAGATGCATTGTAAAACAATCCTGACATAACCTTTGCACTGGCTCAGGACTGGATATAGACATGTGCTCAGAGAAGATGAAAGAATACAGGTCACTAAAGGCTCACTTAAGTGCTGGGAATCAGGAATCAGCAGCGCATCTATAACACGGTGTACACTGTGATAGCTATTTTTAACAAAACATAATTAATCTGAAACAATTAATCACAAAAAATTTAGCACTGGAGATACTAAATAAAGGCCTGTTTAGGGGACACACACACAAACAAAACATGAAAATAGTATAGCTAATTAGTTTTCCATCTGATGTGAGTGTTTTTTTAATGGACAATCAACTGATTGTTTTACTCTGTTAAAAGAGAATACTGCTATGAATATCATTGTGAATATGCAAATAGGCAGGGCTCAAAAGCTACACCTCAAAATGGGCTATTTAGGAGATATGTGAGCAACTAAATAGTTCTACCTAATTTAGATGCTCTTTTTTCTCCATATAAACTTTCTGTTACTGCCAGAGCAATAGATAATGTTAAAGAATAGGGCAACTGAAGCAGAGGCACAAAAATTGAGTTATACTTAACTTTTAAACACTAACCAATGGCAAATTCTTCATAAAATATAAAGTTTAAAGTATTAATATTATAATGTAACACTCAAAACCTTATCAAAAAAGATATCATTCATAAAAGATAATTTGCAGATATATTAGAGTATAAATTCTTTGGTACGTATAGTCCATATTTGGCAATTGAGAACCAAATGCTGTGAACAAAATAATTTAAATTTCAAAGTATTTCTTATTTGTCCTCAGCATTCAGGACATAGCAATTTTCTATTTGTGTTCCAGCCATCATTAAAATATGTTTTCAAATAGTTCTAGACTGCTAATAGTTGTCAAATTTTTTTAGAAAGACTTTTATCTTTGTATCTCTGCATACTAATCAAACAAAGGCAAAAATTTGCAGTACATTATGTAAATATCTAACTTAAAATGGCCCATACTAAATTCGGTATACACGAGAATCTTTCATTTTGTGTGTTTCTGTTAGATCCAAATACACACACATACACACACATACACGCACCCCTTAATAGTGTTGTTTCATTGTGTTTTTCAATCAAGGGAGAAAAAGGGACCACTTTTCAAATTTTTATTTTTTTACCCCATGCTCCAAAACTTTTAGATTTGTTCCATTTTGAAAAGCAGACCAAAAGTAACTGAGTTGTATGAGACCATGTGATTTAAGGCAGGCTACAAATAAGGATGAATTAGAACTCCTAAAATGGAAATTGTATCTGGTGTTTCGATCAGCACTTTTTGTGTGCGTGCAGCGAGAGGAACGTAAAAATACATTCCACCACAAATCAAAAGCTATTTTGAGGTAGTTCTCATTTCAAAAAAAAATTTGCCTTGAAGCTGAAAGAAAGGGGAGTGGGTGGTCGGAAAATCTTGTTCTTGTCACAATTTTGATAATAATAGTGTAGTAGCTTTGTGCTTATCAGATATAAATTTGGAATAACTATGAATCTTAATCAGGACTCTCTGCTAGCATCTGAAATTAAGAACTTTCAAGGAGTAATGTATAGAAGTTGTTAGCTAAAACTAACTGAATAATGCTAAAGCTTCCAAAAAGTTCCACAGACACCACAGTCTAAAGTGTTTTAGAATTATATGAAATATTTTGAATTTATTGCAATTTTTATAAAGGATATAAGTTACAGAGATTTTGAAAGTTATATATATCATACACAAAGTACCTCTAATATTACCTGACAGGATTAATCCTAATCTCATGCCTGCTAGAATTGAGGGAGAGGAAGAGGAAAACATATGCGGTAAATTGACATGGTGAGGTGAGGAAAGTTTCAGAGTGGGTGCCTATCTCTGATAGGTCATGTTTTCCTGCTCCAAATGGAAACTTTAATGTTGCAGTGAACCCTCATTCCATTTCCTGATTAGCTATTTCTCAAATATGAATGTAGATTAATCCTCTTTTAATAACCATTAACTCAGCCCAGATAATCACAGTATAAAAATTCCATCAAATCTTTTAGCTGCCTTTGGATAGTTTTGTCCAATAATTTATATTTCACTGACAGTTTTAATACTTATGTGTGAAGTGTTTAGCATTTCATAATTTGCTCACTCATATTAAATTGTTTATATTTACTGAGCTTCATAAAATCTGTTGTCCTCAGAGTCAGCCATCTATCAATTAAGTATAAAAGTTTTGAAAGGCTTCTCTCTGGCTTGGCCTTATTCCAAAATATTTGAAGGGCATAGCACCTTCTGAGTTAGCAGTTCTACAAGCAGATGGATATCAATCACAATGAGAAATGATAATAGGAAATATACTATTCTTGTCAAGCTCAGAGACCAACAGATATTTTCAAATTAAGTACATAGGTTCTGCAAAGAACTGCTATTAAAAAAAAAAGCCTGTCTGATGTAATTTTATTAAATGTGCAAACCTACTGACTATGAGAGATATTTATAAAGAGTGAATGAATGAAGTATGGAGGATGAAAAGGTAACATTCTAATATATTAGAATTTTACACTTAAGTGACTAGTATAGTCCATCTTTTATTATTATTGCTAAAGTCAAGTGAAGGGATAAACACTAAATGGTCCTTGAATTAAATCAGTTCTTCCCTTTGTTTTATATTATTTATATGAATACGTCATAGAGATGCAATATAAAATGATGATTGATTAAGCAAATGGGTTGATGAACAATACTTCAGGGATGAAGGGAAAGGACTGGACTGTATAACAAGAAGGTACATTAAATTATAATTAATGTTCAAGACTCTGACACTCAGCAGTTATTGCTGAACACCCCTTCCTGGGAAGGATCCCTCATTGGTTAAGTGATATAGCACTTAGATGCCAAAGCATAAGGAAACAGGTAGCCTGCAACCAATGAAAAATGAGAATGGCAGAAGAATGGCACGTCACCAAGTATAGAAGCTCCTTGTCAATGAGTATGCTATACTACCTTCTCAAGTCCTGGAAATTTATTCTACCCAGTAATAATAAACTTTATCCTCATAAGATAAAGATATGATCCACATTATAATAAAATGATTATAAGTACACAAATGCTGTCAAATAACAAGACAACCAAGTGGATATTATTCCTTGCATTTT